ATGCATCTGTAATTGAACATGTTGGCAGTGTTGCTGAGTGTTGTATTGTACTACGCTGTTTTTTCAGCCTTGCCTTATTTCAAAAATGTAATCCATACTTCACAATTTTTGGAGGGTAGTCACATTCGTGAGAGTAATTGGTGAGATTAATCATAAAATGCTTTTAATTTGAAATTCACGAATGTACGTAGGTTCAGATAGTCTACCTGTGAAGCAGGTTGAGCATGTTTCTGCATATGTGAGGATCTATAGTATAGATGCTGGACATACTACAGATGTTGCTATGAAGACGCGGATTGGCTGTTAAGACTTGCCCATAAATGGAAGAACAGGAATTGTTCTTCCTGCTCAAACACGTTTGTAAAGTTCACGCATGGAAGGAGAGTACGGAAACAGCAGGCGGCCCTGGGTCTTATGTAATTGGGCCATGTTCCGGCTCCTCTTCCCCGTGAATCTAGGCTAGCTCCCTCTAGGCAAATAACCAACCGCTGATGTGAGTTAAGCAGCGAGGACCAATGTGCTGAAACTTAGCGCATAGCAGCGCTGCATTAATCAGAGCTGAGCGCTTGTGTAAGACTTGCTAACAAGGGGCCGGTGACGTGTCCTGGTCTATATTAGACAATTAAGGTCAACTGGATGCATGTTCTGAGCAGAAAATAATGAAAAGCAAGACATTTAACCACAATATTTGCATTTTATGTTTAGATTCAAATGTGTCTCCCAATTGATTGTATTGACAGTTAATTCAACTGTGAGATTGCATAATTATCCATCCCTCAGATAATTATCAAGATAAAGGAATAAGCCAAGAGAGGCCACACGTAATGATTTTAACGCGGGTAATGGTTATTCATAGGCACAACGTGAAGCGGAGCTTTGTTAAAGCCAGTGTTCAAATTTGTATTTTTACATTTATTAAAGGTGCATTGTGTGATATTTAGGAGGATCTGTAGACAGAAATGCAATATAATATACAAACCCAATTCCATAAAAGTTGGGACACTGTACAAATTGTGACTAAAAAACAGAATGCAATGATGTGGAAGTTTCAAATTTCAATATTATATTTAGAATACAACATAGATGACATATCAAATGTTGAAAGTGAGACATTTTGAATTGCCATGCCAAATATTGGCTCCTTTTGGATTTCATGAGAGCTACAAATTCCAAAAAGTTGGGACAGGTAGCAATAAGAGGCCAGAAAAGTTAAATGTACATATAAGGAACTGCTGGAGGATCAATTTGCAACTTTTAGGTCAATTGGCAACATGATTGGGTATAAAAAGAGCCTCTCAGAGTGGCAGTGTCTCTCAGAAGTCAAGATGGGCAGAGGATCACCAATTCCCCCAATGCTGAGGCAAAAAAAAATAGTGAAGCAATATCAGAAAGGAGTTTCTCAGAGAAAAATTGCAAAGAGTTTGAAGTTATCATCATCAACAGTGCATAATATCATCCAAAGATTCAGAGAATCTGGAACAATCTCTGTGCATAAGGGTCAAGGCCGGAAAACCATACTGAATGCCCGTGATCTTCAGGCCCTTAGACGGCACTGCATCACACACAGGAATGCTACTGTAATGGAAATCAGAACATGGGCTCAAGAATACTTCCAGAAAACATTGTCAGTGAACAAAATCCACCGTGCCATTCACCGTTGCCGGCTAAAGCTCTATAGGTCAAAAAAGAAACCATATCTAAACGGGAACCAGAAGCGCAGGCGTTTTCTCTGGGCCAAGGCTCATTTAAAGTGGACTCTAGCAAAGTGGAAAACTGTTCTGTGGTCAGACGAATCAAAATTTGAAGTTCTTTTTGGAAAACTGGGACGCCATGTCATCCGGACTAAAGAGGACAATGACAACCCAAGTTGTTATCAGCGCTCAGTTCAGAAGCCTGCATCTCTGATGGTATGGGGTTGCATGAGTGCGTGTGGCATGGGCAGCTTACACATCTGGAAAGGCACCATCAATGCTGAAAGGTATATCCAAGTTCTAGAACAACATATGCTCCCATCCAGACATCGTCTCTTTCAGGGAAGACCTTGTATTTTCCAACAAGACAATGCCAAACCACATACTGCATCAATTACAACATCATGGCTGCGTAGAAGAAGGATCCGGGTACTGAAATGGCCAGCCTGCAGTCCAGATCTTTCACCCATAGAAAACATTTGGCGCATCATAAAGAGGAAGATGCAACAAAGAAGACCTAAGACAGTTGAGCAGCTAGAAGCCTTTATTAGACAAGAATGGGACAACATTCCTATTCCTAAACTTGAGCAACTTGTATCCTCAGTCCCCAGACGTTTGCAGACTGTTATTAAAAGAAGAGGGGATGCCACACAGTGGAAAAAATGGCCTTGTCCCAACTTTTTTGAGATGTGTTGATGCCATGAAATTTAAAATCAACTTATTTTCCCCTTAAAATTATGCATTTTCTCAGTTTAAACATTTGATATGTCATCTATGTTGTATTCTAAATATAATATTGAAATTTAAAACTTCCACATCATTGCATTCTGTTTTTATTCACAATTTGTACAGTGTCCCAACTTTTATGGAATTGGGTTTGTACATAACTATGTTTTCAGTGGTGTATAAAGACATTACATAATGAACATTATGTTTGTATTTCCTCAGAATGAGCCATTTCTATCTGCATAGCCTACACTGCGGGTCCCCTTATATTGAAATAGCAATTTTGGGCCCACATGTTTCTACAGTAACCCTAAATGGACAAACTACCAGAGAGCCAGTGTTGGGAAAGTTCACTTTCTACATGAACTAGTTCAAAGTTCAGTTCACACATTTTAAAATGAACTAGTTCTGTTCATACTTCATAAAATGAACTATAGTTCTTTTTTTCCATATGTTGCAAGCTTTTTTTATTATTAGTATTGCCACAGCCCATTTACAACCACAGACAACAATTATTTTATCGACGGGCTGTTTGCACAGAAATGTAAGATTTTTCCCATCATCACCGACCTCGTCATAAAATCCGTTTAAATGATCATACGACGCCTCCTAGCTCGCTGCTTTGTGAACGGAGGCCGCACACACCAGATTGGGTGTTTTTACACTAGATATTAAGGCCTGTTTACGTGTTCATGAACTATCATTTGCATTTCATCACTAAGTTAGTCTTTGTGCAAAGAAGCTAGCTAAAGTCAGCTTGCTAAAGTCAGCTAATAAAACACTGACACAATAATGAACAAGTAACAATCATATTCACAATAACATATTGTTTTACTGAATAATAAAATAATATTTTTAAATATTTTAAATACAAAAAGTAACATCAGCTTTACCTTAGTTCCATAACAACAATCTACTGTATGGTGATCTGTGCATTTCTCAGCATTTTACAAAGCTTTTTTTTTTTTTTTTTTGCAAGCAACATAAATATTTAAATACCACATTCAAACTTAAAAAAAAAAAAAAAAAAAAAAAAACACGAAAGAGGAGCTGGCAGAAGATAAATGAGCTTGCAATATTGTAAGCAATATGTTTCAAGCAGTAGTATAACCTTTACCCTTTATTTTAGGACTGTTAGCATTCATCAATTTTTAAATGATAGAATATGTATTGTCTTTCACAGCATTATAAGATGCACCATAAAAAAGCATAGCATACAACGTATGCAGTTTTTATATTTATTCATAACAAATCAATTAATGAAAACTTCTGTTCAAATTCTTAAGCTGAACACAGTGAATATCCATTGCACAATAGCTGTTGATAAAATCCATAACTTTTACTGTCAGGTTAAATTAGTTTTTTTTTTTTTTTTTGTCGATAGCTGTCATTTTAACTTTTAGAAACTCTTGATTTTGCTGGTTTGTCTCAGCTCTGGAGACAGATGGCCACTCGGAGCTCATTTGAACTGCTGATAGAGCATGCAAAAAAATAAATATATATATATATATATATATATATGGGAAACGACAGATTTGGTTTGCCACTTCACACACCGTCAATGGGCTTAAATGTTCCCATGCTGATATATTATAGTGTATATAATGATATAAATGTAAATTAGTAAGTCAACACATATTAATTAATGTCCTTTAATGCCTTTGTGCATAATTCTGTTGTTTTTAGGGTCATTTCAGCAAAGACTCACCACCAGGCTGTGGACTATAACATCTTTGAGGGAATGTTGTGTCACGGGCTTCCAGTGGTCACGATCTCCAGAGGGAAGGTGGTTTATAAAAACGGGCAACTATTCACAAAACCGGGCGAGGGACGATACATCCCACGGAAACCCTTCGCTGAATTTGTGTATAAAAGAATTAATCAGCGGGAAAAGGTAAGTCGGGATTGGGCTTTGCTCAAAGAATGCCCAGCATCCCCTAAAATCTCAAAGGAAATGTGGCCATTGTGCTGTATGATCTGTAGGTGAGCATACTTTGTTTTTTAGGTTGGAAAGCCAAGTGCTGTGTGCAGAGAACCGTACGCTGGAGAAGTGGTGTCTATAAGACGCTGAGTCACAGAGGAAATGTTTTAAGGAAGATGAATGTGCAGTATTCATTTAAAAACAAAGATTGCAGTTGTAACCAGAAAAGGGCGTTGCAGTTTAATGCCATAGAAGAAAGTTTCGCAAATAACTTTTTATTCTCTAGTTTGTTGAAAACATGGTGCTCTTAGGAACCCAGAACACAAATGTCCACAATTATCCCCCAGAACCTTTTGTGGAATGGAAATGTTTAATGGATGTTAATGGTTCTTCATGGATCCATCAATGCCAATAAAGAACCTTTATTTTTCAGATACGTTAATGAAGCTAAGTGAGCCTTAACGTTATGTTAGATATTTTAAAGATAACGTTCAAATACGTTGTTGACTTAACTTAGAACAGATGTAGACATCCTTATTTAATTTATCCACGTTTAGTTGGTGTTGTTTTGTCGCATCACTTAATCGCATAACTTTATCCAGAACAGACACTTATCTCGGTTGAGATATGGCTTGGGAAAGGGTATACATTTTTTTTTTTTAAAAACACGCCCAGCCTTTCGGGAACCTAGTGTTGGAGTTGCATGTACCCCATGCACACTGTTTGACCATTTTAAACTTAAAATGACAAGAAAAAACGAATGAAAACTGACTAACTGCAATGGATTTCAATGGACGTGAAAGCAGAGAATGTCTGAGTGTATAGGGTTAGCTGCAAAGTAAAAAAAAAGAAATCCAGGGTCCTGATCACATACAGTATGGTGTGTGATGACCACTAGGGCTCCTGGGTCTATTCAAAACAAACTGATGACTAGGGCCCATGGCCTATCATCCCATTCCCATTGCCTTCTATACTCAGACCACTGGGACACCACAAACAGAACCCCCAGTGCAATGTTAAGGTGCACTTTTTGATAAAAAATGCCTGTAAATTCTCTTGTCCACATGTACTCTCTCAAACCTGCGATTATGGCTGCTTGACAAACTGTAACAAACTTCCAGCCTACTTAAACAGCGTCAGGGTTTGTTCTGTGCTTATGGAAGAGTAAGGGGCACCAAAAACTGGGCTGCAATAAAAACAAAAAATACATTATTTTGTTAATACAATCCACATTATAACAGCTAATGCCAAAACATACTCTATGCAAGAACTTGAAAACACATGCTTACAGCTATATAGGTTCAGTTTCACACATAATACTTTCCTGAAATGTCACAACACAATTTGCATTGCATAACACTATAAACACACACCATACGTTTCTGGCCTTGGTAGCAAAGCTAAATAAGAACAATTTACTAGATAAGCAAAACTGAAGACTTGTTTTAAGATAATATAGTTTGAATTAAACATTTTTCTTACCCCACTGACATCTTTAAAAGCATACATATTATGCTTTTAAATATTATATTTTTTATATTACACCAAATTGACTGTGATTTCTGCTTAAAACAAGAAAAAAACTGGGTACTGTAAGAATAAATAAACTTAATTCCAGATATGTTCTCCTAAAACAAGTCTATATTTATACAATTTTACCGAAAAAAAGTACTCTTTTAAACATTCTAAAAATATTGATTTACTGTAGACACTGATGTTGGCAAAGTGAATCAGTACTACTAACCTGCATGGCTAAAGTCTTCAGATCACCTTCATGTTCTCCCACTTTAGACTTGCACCGCTTTCTTAAAATCTTTGCATGTAGATAAGCAGCTCTTTTCCTTGCGACATCTGAGAAAAACTGCTCGGATAGCACAACCCTGAGCTGGACGATCTGTGATGACAGCAGAATCAGAACAACCAGCAAGGCCAGGACGACAGACAGAGGAACCAGAGATTGATAGAGCCACAGTTCTGGTTCAGGCAAGCACTTCTTTTCAAACAGAGACACTGTGTAGGAAAAATCAGCCCCTTTTGCATTTTCCTTAACAGGTAAACCTAGAAATAATGTTGCTTCCTTTCAAAACAAAAAAGGAGAAAGTGGAGAGAAGAAATACAGACATCAACAAAATACCAGTGGCAGTTTTCATACAGTTTGATTATAAAAAGGATAGTTCACCCGAAAAAAAAAAATATATATATATTTCATCGGTTTTAATTACACTCATGTTATTTTAAAACGGTATGACTTTATTTATTTATTTATTTTTTGTGAAACAGAAAAGAAGAAATTTCAAACATCATTGGATCATTTGACTTTAACTGGAGATATTTATTATAACATATTCTTTTTGGTTACACAAAACAAAGCATCAACAGGAAGGTTAGTAAATCAAGACAACATTTTCATTTTTGGGTGAACTATCCCTTTGAATATAGCCTACAGAATTAAGGATCTATGTTCACACAAGCAAAATATTTGTCTTTTCATTAATGCACACACACAACTGAGTTATGAATAAAACTGGATTATATAACCAACATGACCGTATTTACAGAAACGTAACGCTACGGTTCTGTTATAAACGATTGAAACATGATTCTTTAGCCTAACTAACTTTTATATATAGAAATATGTGATCGATATCTGTTCACACAACAGCAGAATATGTTGGTTATTGCTCTTTGAAATGCTAAATTGAATTCAGACAATTCAGTTTTGACCTTGTTATTAATGTTCTGTGAGTGACTCACGAATGTCAACGTGGCAGTGGCTTCGCGCACAAAAACACAACACATAGTTTTTGTTAAATTCAAACAAAAAAATAGTGTGAAATAGTGTTAAATTCATTCAGTAAGGATTAAAGGATTAACGTATCCATGTAGGCCTATCTGTAGGACACTATTCTAGCTTACCTGGAGTTTTATTCCCACAGGAACATGAAGTGGCTCCAGTTCCCCGAGCCGCTTGCTCAGAACCACAATAAGCCAGTAAATCATGCCGTCGAGACTAATAAACAGCAGCCAGGTGAGACAATGAGTGAATATAGGAATACTGAACTTGAACATGGCTTTCCACTGCCGACCGGTCGGACGGACGGACGGGGTCACTATATAACGTTCCGATTCGCTTTTGCTAAGCGGAAGGACACCCGGTTTACCCTCCTCCCTTTGCTGCTCGTCAAAGCAGCGGAACGTTTTCGTGATGTATATGTTGTTGTGCTTTTTGTCTACATGAAATCTTCTCAGGTATAAAGCAGTGAGGAGCACAATGAATAAAAGACCTAATGTTGGAGACAATATCGTTCCTATTGAAGACAAAGCATTGGTCAATGCTAACACACTCTGCGTGGTCTGGTTTAGAGCCTGTTCGGCCTCAGAGAGGTGGACTTTGAAGAGCTCAGAGTCCACCTTTGCTTTAAGAGAAAAATCTGCATGGGAACTCCAAACTGAAAAGTTTATAAAGTAACTTTTAAGTTGATTTCCCACCCACATAAGCATTTTTATATAATTTCCGAGGGGTTCTGTATTGATATCCAGTAACTTTTCCTCCAAGTTGCAGAGGAGACCTTTTGCAAGCAGTCTCATGTTTTGTAGCATGTTCTGGATGTTGAAGAAAATCACTGAACTGGTTCCTAATGTGAGAAGAAGACTCTTCACTTGCTTCATACCCATCGAGATCAAAACCAGGGCTCCGAAACAACGGATCCTTTCTGAGAAATACATCGCTGGTGTTAAGCTTACACAAAAAACACAAGCGAGGGGAACCGAGACCTCCTGGACACAATTGAAGGAAAAGTGAAGGATGAGGAAGAGGAAGGCGCTCAGAATGAGGCTGGTGGTGAAGCAGCTCAACAAGAGGAGAGGTTTTTCGTTCCAGCTTTTCGTGTTGTTCGTGTAGACAGCATATATTCTGGACCAGACCCATCGTACTCTTTCTGTAAGCTGATAAAATTTAGTTTGAGTCATCATTGTCTCACTAACCTGAAATAACAGAAACAGAGATTTTGAAATTGGAAATGATGATGCTTTCATAACTACATTAAATGGTTAATGAGCCCTACAATGTCTGCATTATTTTGATTGGGCTCCAAAACATATTTAGACATTTAAGCCAAACATAAAAATGTGAATGCATTGCTTTAGATAACAAAATATCAAATTTATAAATACAGTTGCACAAACACACTTTTCTTGTAATACCTTTAACAAAAAAAGTTTATCAGGTTTTAAATGATAAAACAATATACTGTTATAATTGGACACGTTGTGGTTCAAACACATACAAAAAATGACGAGACTACTCTAAAAAAACGATGTGTTGGCTTCAACTACTTTTTCTTCGTCAACAGGTTCCACATAACTGAGTTACATTAAACAAACATAATTTGTTCATGTAACTTCAACATCATGGAATTAAGTAATTTTAAGCAACCCAATTTAAGTTCTCTCAACGTGAATTTTTAAAGGCTTCCTATGATTCAAGTATTTTTTTTAATATACGTACATCCATTTATATTTCATTTATTTCAGTGACACTTAATTAAATTGATAGAATATTGATAGCAGTAGCACATATTAGCATCTTAAATGCTAAGATTTTCATGCTCCTTCAATCAAAGCAATAGAAAATAATTAAATCAGTCGACAGCCACAAAAAAAAAAAAAATGCTCCACTCTTCTCAAATGTAATTTGAATGGTTTAATAATTCCAATAATTTAACATTAAACACAATTACACACTATCAAGTGTTCCCCTTTTCTAAATATCCCCCAAAAAAACATAAAATAACACTTAATTTTAACATATATTCTCTCTTAATTCAACCATATGCAAAGCATGCTCGGAAATAAAAGCACTGCCCAGTTTCAGTTAATGCGACACAAATCAATCATGTAATCAAACACAAGTGGATTAAGTAAACTTAAGTTGTTCATATATTTAAGCAGATTGAACATAATCCAATTAAGTTCAGGCAAAACGGCAGTTTCCGTGAATTTTTTACTTAACATAAATGGTTTGTGTTTAGACTACATGTTAGGATTTTGTAGGCTACTGTTAAGTTGAGACATAAATAGAAAAAAAACCCAAAAACATTTCAAGTCAAAAAACACAATTATTATAAGTAAACTAAATACAGATATATTATGTAAAGTGTACAACCTTCCTAGTTCATTTTTTTGAGGGTTAATTGCAATAAATGGCTCAAAAAATTTAGCTTGAGGTTTTATTCTACTGATATTGAAATGCGATATAATGTTGACTGAAGTAACAATAAATCTGTTACAGTAATCTGTCTGTACATTTAAGTCTCTGTTATTATGCAACATTTGATTTTTACAGTAAGATAATTTCTTTGTCCTTACCTTTTATTTGTCTTGAATGCTATCAGCTCATGATTGTGTTGTGACAGTCCAGCATTTATCTGTCAATGCAGGAGGAAGCTGTTTATCCCCGTTGACCACTTCCTTTTTTAGCCATCATCTCAGCACTTACTCATAACCACAGAATAGCACTGACAAAAAACACCTTGTGATTAATATGTTCTATGACAAAAAACAACATAATTCTGTTGTATTTAGAAAGCTTGCTTTCGAAGAAAATACAACCTGAGGGCGCAGCTTTAAAAAACAGGACCTTTAGGACAAAATTATAGGCCTATATGATATAATAAATGAATAACTTAATAAGTTATAGTTAAAACAAGCATTATTATTCTTAAAAGTATTTTTAATTATTCAGTAATTGATTATTTTGATTTCTTTTTTAAAAAAAGTTCCTTATTTCTGATAAATGCGGTCCTTCTCAAAGAATCCTGTTGTGTACAAAATTGTACACAACTATTTTCAACATTGATAATAATAAAAAAATGTTTTGAGTAGTCAATCAGCCTTTTTTAAGGAAAGTGTGCCACTGATGATGCTGAAATATCAACTTGGCATTACAGGAATAAATTAATTTAAAAGTATATTCAAATAGAAACAGTTATTTTAAAATGTAAAAAAAAATAGTTCATAATATTACTGTCTTTGTTCTATTATAAATATATAGAGCGTTTTTAAAATATGCATCTCTTTAGCCAAGCATTTACATAATTTATCTCATAACCTTTTACTCCAGTCATATCAGATGAAATGCACATGATTATTTTTGCTTGAAATGTTATGAACAGCAGCTTCGCTAATTGATTTCCATTAGCTTTTCTGTTTTATCTTGGGATGCCCATCCCAACGTAACTAGATATGTCAGCTCTGGTTTGGATCCAACCTCTACGAAGACTTCAGATGACCCAACACCTGTGAAGAGACGACTCTAACTCCGGCCAGGACTTCAGATGACGCCAACTCTATATATTATAATCATTATGTTCACAACTTGTAATAATTACTTCAATGAGCTCATCGTTTCTGCCTAAAATGTATACAAACGGCGTGATTTTTATATGTGCATTTCTGAATTATAACTTGGACACAGTCACCCCTGATACTCTCACTGTAAAAAAAAATCATTATTTTTTTTCAATTACAACATTATTTCTTTTGTCAAAATATCTTAAATAGTTTATGTAGTTCAGATAACATAATATTTTAAGTTTAACATAATATTTTAAGTTTAAGTTTCTAAGTTATATTTTAAGATGATTAAATCAATCACCTTTTTCCATTTCAATGAACTTAAATTTTTAAGGCAGCCAGGTTACTTAATTTTTTTTAAGTTAAACCAACAATATTTTTTACAGTATAAATTGATATGTAGACGCATGCATTTCTATAAAGCTGCTTTGAAACGATATGTATTGTGAAAAGCGCAATACAAATAAATTTGAATTGAACTGAATACACTGTACATGTCTGCCATATATAAATATATCTGTGTTTTCATGTCATGTCAGGAAACACTATAAATAGAGACTTGCTGCTTTTGTTTGTGAACGCTCATTTTCCTTGCTCAATATCCATTTTTTATTTTTTAATTTGAAAAATAACTTACATAAATCTCTGTACTCAACCATACTTGACCAAGACATAGCCTTGGCATGAACACATTGCACCAAAAAAAAAAAAAAAAGAAAAAAGAAAAAAACAATAGAGAAGGCATTTGAAATAGAATAGAACATACTTTGACATCATGAGACATTATCCCACTTCCATACATTTAGAGTGTTTCTTTAATAGAGATCTCTTTTTAAAATCTGTAGATTGTGAAAGACGAACGCTGAAATCAAAAGTGGACTGAAAGCTTGATAAATAGAGTTCATTTTCATTGGAAGAGGTATAATGTCCCAGTGCATATTTCCATTCAGGCATTGAAATTAGGAGTCATAAACTGCTCGGATATATAAGAAGCTCTGATTATTACTAAAAAATAGAAAATAAAAAATAAATAGGTCTTGGCTTGTAAATAAACTAACAAAAATATATTAAATGACTTCTACTTTCTTGAAACGAAGAAATAAAACCCAAAAGGTATATCATCGTGTGGCAATGGCAATATCATCGTCCCGATGTGCATTTCTCTGCAGACAGCATCATGCTCGGAAAACTGTACAGCACAATACTGCGAAAGTCAGCGAGCTGCAGACGCCTCCGGTAAAAAGATCTCGGAAATATTGGGCTCTTTTGTCAGGAATGCTGCAGCTCGTATTTCCGTAAAGATATAAAAATCCCTGGTCACATTTTCCCTTAAATTTGTCAACAAAGTATGATTTTACAAGGTGGAATGTTCATTCGGAATTTTGCCCTTCTGGTCAGTGCGAGAACACCGCCTAATTTTCACCAAAATTCAATTCGGGGTGAAGGGAGGGGGCAGGGGATCGTTGTCGACATGCACTGTACAAGAAACTGCATTTGTTTTTCTTTTTTCTCCAAATATCGTCTTTATCAAAACATGCTGAGTTACTGTAAGATGTGCCCAAGCCATGTTGCCAAAAACCCTTTTCAACATGCTTGTTAAACGAATGAACTTCAAACAATACAGACTAAAACTAGAAGAGCTGAAGAAACGAACAGCCCTGAAAATTCAAATGAAGAAGAACTGGAACAATATCGGGGTGGAAACCTGACAACGGAAGCAAGAAGTACAGAGAGTTTACCCTGGGACAGGGGAGAAGTAGAGAAACGTGTACAATTTGCACATCATCTTTAGCTTCATAAGGCTTACGCCTTTACAATAATAAATCATAGACATTTATTTTTACGTCTTTGTCACATGAACAGATTTTTCACTGTAAATAAAATGTTTAGCTTGTCATTTAACTGCTTGTCTTTAAAAATACAGTAGAGAGACCAATGAACGGTCCACAGGACAAAAAAAAACAAGGTTTCATGTTTCTTTTTTTTCTTCGTCAAATCACACTGTAGCATTCACTCCCCATGAAAACCATGCACTAGTGAAATTTATCTTTAGAAATAATAGAAATGGTTGAAAATGGCTGATCCGGTTTGTTTTTTTCTTTTTTTCTCATCATCATCATCATCTTTTTTTTTTTTTTTTTGCAAGTAGCAGTCTGAGAAATTGATTTATTTTCTATTTACTTTTTTTTTTTTTTTTAAAGTTCAGCTAAAGTTGTGTCCATGCAACAAAAAACTTGTTATTTCTTCTTTAGGTTTCATACAGTATCAAGAGAAGAAATTCAATTTGATCTTAAAAGATGATTCAAACCTACATGTCATCTCCGTGTTGATCTAGCAGAATCTTATCTGGGGAGTGAGGTGACCATTCCCGCGTCATATTCTTGTTTTGTGTGTACATTTCTGGGTCTGTTGGCATGGCTTGACCCAAGGAACACTGTTAGCCCATGTAGATACAAATACATCAACATTAAAAGAAACATAAATGGAAAATGAAAGTCGAAGAGAACGTTTCACCCCGTTTCAAAAAGGGCTTTTGAAGAACTCAACATTTCGCTTCTCAGTTCAGGCTCAACTCCAATGGCTTCAAATAGGCTCTAAAATCAAGAATTGTGACGTTCCATGAGCTCGGGAGCCCATTTCCAGCTTCGTCTCGTCCCTACCCTCTAGGGGGTGCTCTTTGCGCACGGTGTGTGCGGCATTTTTTTTGCGAGCAAAAACAGAACCGCTTTTTTCACCCCTAAGAAACAAGCTCTGAACACACAACATCAAGCATGCAGTGTTACCGGGGGGACGGGACCTGTCGCAATTCTCAAACTCCACCCATTGGCTGCTACAATAACGCTATATTTCAGAAAACTGCTACGAGCGACCGAACGGCGCGGACCCGCTGTCGAGAGATGACTGGGAAGCTCTTCTGGTCAACGGGGCCAAGGTTGGGTCGACCAATGAAGAGGGAGGAAACAGTTTGAACCAGCCAATAACCATGTTGGACAAGTCCAGATCATCTAAAAGTATCTGAGCGGCTCCCATGAAGGATTTGTGGTCCATTCGTCCATAGTCTCCCCACACAATGATCTACGATGGGAAAAGAATTAAGAATTAATGAATAGACATGAGGCAAGGTCTCATAATAAAAAAAAATTGAATAGATGACTTAAGATATCATAGAAAAAAAATGTGTTTTATTGTGTAATTATGTGTTTTTTATTATTATTTTGTCATATACTGTATTCATATATCTGGAATCGCTAAACACATATATAAATATATATATTAATAATAATAAATATTGATTTACGTCGCAATTACTTATATATACTGTGTATATACATACATACAGGGCTTAAAGGGATACTCCACTTTTTTTTGGAAATAGGCTCATTTTACAACTCTCGCAGTGTTAAACAGTATATATATTTTCCCACTATGGAAGTCAATGGGACCAGAAACTGTCTGGTTACTGATATTCTTCTAAATATCAGAAAATTGGCTAAATGGATTCGAAAACGGTAAAACTCAACTGTTTAACTCTGGGGGAGTGGTAAAATCAGCCTATTTCCAACAAAACGTGTAGTATCCCTTTAACATAAACTTTTTTTTGCTCACCAACCACTGTGGTTAGTGGTTTTCCAAAGTTACTAGCCACACAGTATTTTTACTGGCCACAATTTTGACATCGATACCATGGTGAAAAATTGCTATATAAATATTTTTTTAATCATCACATAATTTGGCAGCAGGTATATTAGGCTGCTGTCACTTTAAGACCGAATGCACGGATCCATTATTCTGTCACATGTGTTTACGTTCACTTGAAACATAACTGTCTGTGTTTATGTGAATACTCGCCAAGACCAGTGAGCATTTTGACATTATTTTTTGTATTTGACTGTTTAAGCGCAATAAGCAGCGAAAAATAACTTTTGAGAGGTTGCTCAAACGATGACATAATACGTGACGACATAATACCTGTAAAACCTTTCCTCCTGGGCTCTCCTCAAACGGCAGCTGCTGCTGGTAAAGAGGGTCCAGTGTTTTTCGTGCTACTTTTGTTTTC